AGCGAGGGAATGACAACGGCTAAACAAATGATCTGCAGACTATTGTGTCAGCGGCTTTTCAATATGTGCCTTTCTTCCCTATGACTGTTTGCTAAGGCAGAATTCCCTCATCGTAGGGTTAAGCACGGCCTCTCCCGACTATACTACACTGTGGCTGTCAGGGGTGGACAGAGTCAATTAGTGTGACAGACAAACTTTCAAAAGCTAAAACAGAGGTCTGTTTGTTCAAACAGAAATCTCGGCTTGCTAGAATCCGCGCTGCGAAGATTCGAGGCACTAATGTCTATATGCGCTACAAACAAAATGGGCTCCTGATCGACTCACTGGAGGAGGTAACGAGACCAAGCAGCGGCTTTGGGGCTAACTGACTGGGGCCTCGCTGCCGCCTGCATGCCGCTCTGCTTGTGGGCCATGCAACCACGCACGGGAGGCGGGAGGCGGGAGGGGAGGGGGGGGCTTCTCATGCTCTGACATAGGGGCTGCTGTCATTCCAGTGCTTCAGTATGATCGCCCTCTCTCTCTCTCACACATCACACCTCTCGGCTGCAGCATTGACATGCTTCCCTCAACACTATCTCTCTCTCTCTCTCTCTCCCCCCCCTCTCTCTCTCTCTCTCTCTCTCTCTGTCTCTCTCTCTATCCATACAGCAGGAGGGCCGGGCAGGCACACTTGCCTTCTGGTGGAGCGCCGCCATTACCGCGTCACACTGACTCATGACCAAGCTCTGCATGTCTGTCCAACAGGGTTTTGAGGGGAAGGAGGAAACCAAAGGCTTACTGTTTGGAGGCCCGTCTGCTCGGCCTGCATCTCCTCTAAACTCTGTTTTTTTTTTGTTTTTTGAATCTGCCGTGCGTTCTGCGTGTTGTTTCTAGAGCATTCGGGTGGTAGTGCAAACTAACACAAACATACCTTCCATCCCAGAGGCGTGCAGAGCTCCATTAAAGTGTACGTTGTTGTCGTGAACCAGAAACCTGTGGTGTGTTTGGTGCAATCTGTTTGATCTGTGTCTAGGTGTGCCACTGCTGTTTAACTGAAATGACCTCTAATTTGACGTCTTATGGTCCTTGTCACCAAATCAGCTGGCAAAATTCCATCAGTGAAAAATGATGGGGTCAACCAGTGTCTCTACGCATCCACATCCACAGCTCACTAGGATCTCAGTAGATTGGCTGCCGCGCTACAGATCAGCATTTCAACCCTCAGCGCTTTGCGTACTCTCCACTACATCCCCCCCGACCTCGCTCAAGACTCGAGTCGACGCACAATCTCAACTTGCTCATCAACACCGTTGTTTTTTGTACTCTGTGTGTTCGAAGGCCTCCAAGGAGGCAGGAAAAGCCCTGGTGGCAAAGGCCCCCAGCCCTCCTTTTGAGAGCCAGCACAATCACCTGCTGCACTGCCTGGAGAAGACCACAGTAAGATATCTTTTCTTTCTAAAGCTTAAAAGTCCGCTGGAAAAGAAAAACGCAATCTCTTTGACATCTTTCATTCTCACTATCTTGGTAACCGATAGCTCACCATTAAAACCCTCCGTGTATGAAAAATGACTCCTGTCTGTGCTTATCAGTTGTACCAGTCTTTCACAGTGTGTTGTCAAAAGGAACAAAGTGAGTTTTGTCATCCATGCTCTAACGTGTACATTCTTTATTAAATCCAGCACAAGTTAAAAATAGCTGTAAATGAGGCTGGGAGATGCTGCGTCCCCTCGCTAGCAACATGCTAAAGATAACGCGACTCCCCCAGCCAGTAACATTGTTCCCTCCAAACAAACAAGCATGCTTCATTTCACAGGATGTACACGTTTTACACATGCAGCTCGAAATCCCGTACAGAGACAATGCCAGTCAATAAATCAGTGTCCCTCCACAAAGATAACCCCCCCGCTGTGAAAGGCTTGATGGTTGTCTAGGAAAAGCTCCACAAAGGCTTCATGTCATTCAGATGCCAGCGCACATGTTTACATTAGGGATCTCACAGTGTGCATTATGGATGGCAGAATGCATGAGTGACAGCATGTGACAGAGGGACGAATAAAAAAGGAGCCCAGGTCCTCCGTGGTGTCGCTCTGCCCCCTGCTGGCTAGGCCTGAAGCCCTGATGGCGCCTGACCTTCTAGTCATGCTCATTTGTCACAGGGATAACAGTTGTGAATGTTTTCGCAGATGGCACTTAATGTGGACATCTGGGCCAATGTACTTCTCTTCGCTTAATGATTCATTTTCCAATTATTGAACAACTTTGCTGTGGATTCTGTTCGGTCTGTTTAGTCTCCACCGCGAAACAGCTTCACTCATTAATTTGCAGAGCCAATCATTGATGTAATAGAGTGATTCACGAGCAACGTTGGATCCAAATCCTCCCCCATCTTCCCCTGCAGAACCACGAGTTTGTGGACGAGCAGACGTTTCAGGCCAACTGCATGGAGATCTCTGTGATGAACAAGTCGGGGTCCTGTGGGTCCTCACTTTCCTCTTCCCCCCACGGCCTCAGCTCGTGCTGCTCTCGACGCCACCGGAAGAAGAGCAGCTTCAGTCTGCCCAGCACAAACAACCAGGAGCTCAGCACCATACAGATAAGAGAGAGGCCAGTGGCCAATAGGTAGTCTTCCAACAGGCCCACCCGCACCAGATACACACACACACACACACACATACATGCAAGCCACTGATCCCGTATCATATGACAAGAAGATTTTTTAGTGATTAATCACTTAAGTGATGGATTCAGCTTGGTGGACATGGATAATTAACGCATTGTTTGTTGTCCAGTGAAAAGGACTCAGCCTTGATCGGCATTTTTAATTTTCAATGTTTTTTTTTGTAAAAAATGGATTGTCATTTAGTTTTAGTTGTTTTTCTTTTCTTATTCATTGAAAAGTTTGCATTTTTGAGATAAATGGTTTTCATTGGACACATGCACATGCTTTGAACAACACTTCAAAGCATTTGCGATCTTTGAACACATTAGGTTTTCACACATTGCAAGTTCTCCCAAGTTAGGATTCTTTTTTAACTAACCGAAATATCATAAAACAGCCCAAACACAGGCTGTAAAACAAAAACCATGTATCTTGCTTTCGCAAGGTATTGCAGGAATGGTTATACATCTTATGTTATTTATTGTGTGGGATTTTAAATTAGACTAACAGGACAATAGGCTAAATACAGTCAATTTTAAATTGAACGTATTCACATGCATCCCAAAAAAAGACACACTAACAAGTTATTGCTGTTATATACATACAGTATATATGTTCACTCGGCACAAAGAACATAGATATTTCTGGATCATTGCTTTCATACTGTACAGCAAAAGAATAAAGAACTCTCCTTAGGCTTTGTATAAAAGATTCACAAGGTCAAGCCTCTCGCCCTCTTTCATCCCCTGTTTCTTTCTACAGTCGCTCCTGCCTGAATGCCAAACTCGAGGAGACCTTGCCCTTGAAATGTGACAAACCTTACATCACTCCCTGCATGGTCAGCCTATCTGCACCGGTGGTGACCTCATCGGACGGACACGGCTCCACCACCACCACCGCATACTCTCAAAGCAACATTGTCCGAGTATCTGCCTTGTAGACGTCACGCTTATTCGATCGGCTAACTGGTCTCAAGAAGCACCAGATGCTGAGGAGAGGGACCACTGAGCATCAACCTGCCATAATCTAGAGGGATTATAAGATTAGCAGAAATCGGGGTTTTTTGAAGTAGTAATCTCATCTGATGTCAAACTCTGCATGGTATTAAAATTATGTGGACAGCTGCCTTGGGAGTAAAAAACAAACCAGCAGATCTTGCACCATTAAGCACAGCAGAGCAAAGAAGGGTTGGAATTGCGTGGTTATCGTCGTTGCCTAAAAATACTGAGAAAAAAACCTTTATTTTTTAATATATATTGTAGTTGTATTTGTTGTCTTCTGATTCAAAGGAGGAAAGGCAAGTGTTAAAGAGTCATTCTTGTTGGCCTCTGATGACAAAGCACACGTATTCATTAACGTAGGGCCATCTATGTGAATATTAAATCTACATCTACTTACATATTATAAAACATCCACTTCACTCACCATGAATATATTGTTTTGAAACCCCTAAATGAACTGCTTTCTAATAGTCCCCTCACTCTTGTAAATTTAGAATACATACATTCACTGGAAAAGATAACTGTTGTGAATATTCATCGACTGACTCATTAACTGGTTAATATCATCGCTTGATGAGTAGAGTATACTACGCATCCTGACATGTTTGTGAAATGTGCAAGTGAAAATCTAAAATGACAAAATCTGTGTTAGCTTACATTTTTTACATTCTGATATGGGTCTTTGTGAAAGCCACTGTCATTGACTAACAATCCATATTAAGAACTATACAGGGTACATATTAGTTAGGCAACAAGGTAGAAATATAAGTTCATGTTCTCTGCGACACTTGACTAATACTAACCCTAATGTGGACCCTGAGTGTGCACCTGGAAAACCATTTGAAAGAGTGTTGGACATCAATTCCATTGAGTTGCTCTTAAATAATGAAATTGATGATATGAAGCGAGACTTGGTAGATTCCACTGTGTTCAAGGGCCATTTTGTAAATTTTTCATATTGTAAATATCTCAGTTAGAACTTTATCAGACGCATTTGAAGTTGGCTCCTCTTATTTCTAGATTTAGTTTACGGTTGTTGGCATTCTATTTCTGTCTGTTTACTGGTTGAATTAAGGATTTGCATGCTGTCATTGCAGAATTCTGTTTTATTAAAAGTATGTCTTCTTGTTGGAGGTTTGTCAGTAAAATTGAGATTGATGGAAGGAAAAACAATGAGACTGGTATGTAATGATGTAAATTCCGCAACACTTTGTTTTTAATGAAATACAAATCTTGTCATATATTGAGTAAATATATAAGGAGTAAGGAAAAGGGACAAATGATCACACATTGTGCATTTGGTGCGGTGGATAGAATAAATACCATAGCTCTACTAAAACATCCATCAAATGACCCATGTCTTTTTTTTTTTTCTTTTCACCAGAGCGCAATTGGATGAATTTATTAACGTCAATTTATTAACATCAGCAGATGGGGATAATAATTATAGGTGATGCTGGAGGACATGTGAGGGCCTGACTGTCCCAGTGGTCGGTCCTGCTTGCAGAGTCTCTGTGGACGGACGAGCAGACCTTGGTGATTGTTTGACAGAGAGCTCGGGGGACAGCATCCCTCTGCTGCGCTGATTGCTTCAGTCCGGGTTGTTTTCTGGCAGCATGCGCAGCCTCTGCTCTGCAGTGTTAAGCAACTGCTGCATGAAGTCTAAGATAACGCAGCAGCATCCAGAATAATATACCAACATTTAAAAAGAAAACCAATTATTTTTATATTTGAGAAGAAACTAGACAAACGAATTTAGATTAAAATAAATTTGGTTATTTTGACTAGTGCCATTCAAAAGAAGATAGAAGCGAAAACATGATCATGTCTTATTAAATATGGACACAAACTTGTTTTTAATCCTATAAAACTCTGTCTGGAACTGAGGGTTCACTGCAGCATATATTATAGGGTCACTCAGAGATGTGATACAAGCTACAGAGACTGACAGGAAGTCCAGATTGATCTGAAAAAAATCAAAGAAGATAACTTAGATAACTTTGTATTGCGGCAAAATCCTTTGCACAGTTTGATTTGTAGAAAATAAGTAACAAATGTGCACAAAGAAATGGGAGAAAAAGTTGCATTCTTACCTGAGAAATATTTACTGTGTTCTTGTTGCCATGATCAACATAATTCATCAGGATAGTTGTTATCAACGGTAACCAGAACAAGATGAAGGACAAAATGATGTAGCCTGCTCGCTTCGCCATTTGGCTTTCCTTCTTTTTGTGCACTCGTTCTTTACTCGCTTTGGAAGGCATCATGCAAACAGCACCTTCCACCTGCACACTTTGTTTTGTAGCTCCTGTGTCAGAGTTATTATTTAAGACAGGAGGTAATGAAGACACTTGATCTGCCCGTGTTGCTCCTCCACTGCTGTTCTCAGCTTCTTTTATTCCAATCAGTAAAACCGAAGTGAATTGGCACTTTTCTAACTGTGCAGAGGCGGGAGGACAAGGAGAGGGTTCTTTCATTTCAGAGGGCGCTTTGACCATTTTCACGCTCTCTTCGGGCTGTCTTTCTGTGTCAAAATTGCTCGACACCTGCGGCATCGTGGTCAATCTTTCACCTCCATTCGGTGGTTTTGCTTCAACTTTTATGCCAGAGGAGTTGGACTGCTCTGTTTTAAAATCCGTCTGCACAGCAACCTTCAAAGCAGGAGGTTGAGGTTGTTCTGTTTTCAAGTCAGTTACCTCTGACGCAACATTTCTGCTCAGGGTTAGGTTTTGCTTGGATTTTGCGGGTCCATTTTTCACAGCTGTGGTTTCTTTTTTCTTCTGCTCATCTTCTGTCTTTGAAACACATGGAATACCTTTGTCAAATATCTTGCGATTGTGTGATCTCACAATGGCAAAGATGCTAGCGTAGAATAAAATGATGACAGTAAAGCAAGCTGCCCAAAGCGGGAACAACATGTAAAGCCCAAAGGTGTCGTAGGAGGGGGATGTTTCTCCAAATAATCCTTTGCATTTGACATACACAGGTGAGTCCTTCATAAATATCAGACAAAAAAACGCCACCAGAATAGCCAAGATCCACATAAGAGGAATCTGCACCATAATCCGTCTTCGCCTTTCACTGGTTTTAAAGGGTCGGGCAATGGCCTGGTACCTCTCTGCACTTATACAGGTGAGCGTCAACAGTTGGATGCAGCAGCTGAAAGAGAAAACGGCCACTTGCACATCACAGATCAACTTGTCGGCATGTCCTCTTTGATGCACGTTCAGAACGATGGTAAAGAGAACGGGGCAGTCAATCACACACCTCAGAATGTCTATGACCGCAAGATTCACCACCAGCGCATTCATCGCAGTTTGAAGGGTTTTTTGGTGGCAAACTGCCAGTATGACAAAAAGATTGGCTGCGATCCCCACAGCAGAAGTGATCAACAGGATCAAGCTGTTTGCCACCACAAAGACCATGTCAGTGTAGTCGTCCCAAATGGTGTCGTTCCCAGAGTCCCATGCCGGTGTAGGCTCCCCTCTCATCTCCAGGTTCAAAAAGCCGACATGTTTAGTTCGGTATCTTCATTCTCTCTACGCCGCCGGAACATACAGGACGTCTGATTTGCTTGTTTGGCAAAGGATTCTGCACCGAGCGAATGGTATCCTTGGGTGGACCTGTAGCCTGCACAAGTATCCACCCTTTTCATTATCACTCCACACAGCAGCACCGGTCACCTGGGAGTCCTCACTGTTCACAATCATTAAATACTGTGCTGTGTACTCACAGCATAGACAACATGGTGGAAAAATGGATGGCTGTTAATTGAAACCGCATTTACGTCGCTATCGTCTGAATACCGATTAAAATTTTAAATCACCAACGAGGTGCTTAGAGCACAAATGCAATAATGATCATGGTTTGACCTCTGGTACATTAGATATTCATACACTATGAGTAAGGTGACCAGCTGTCCGTTTCATTTCACAAAGGGTTCAAGCTTTGCATTAAGCGTGCCAGATGGATGACTTGGGCGTTCTCGAATGGGCTCAGGAAATAAAGGGAGCCGTGCTGCTGGATTATAGCATGACGTTGTGTAATCCTGTTTGGAGATAAAGTGTGAAATGCTCTTTGCTTCAAATGTGCAAGTTTATGGACTATGCCAAAATCTGGGATTAGATTAACACAATGCATTTTCCTCCTGACCATCCTACAGTGAAAGTCATGTAGATAAAAAGCGCAAGTTATGGAAAAGAAACTGTGCTAAAGCGTGAGTCACACAACTTGATCAAATTGAAAATTAAAAAGACGATCAAGCTCATTTAGAAAAAGATTAAAACATTTAGAGTATTTACATCGAGGTCTCCAAACAAGTGGGAAAGAACAAGACAAAATGAGATATCACAGACTCTTTTCTTTCCAAAGAAATGTTTGATGTATTTACCAAAGACTATTGAGATTTTAATATTAACCACTAAACCGGTTTATAATAGAAAACGTCAGTGCATTTCACCTTTTTACATTGTTTTACCAAATGAGTTAACGAAATTAAATCCACTCTCCACACCACATACTGACGAAGAGAAAAAATATTTATTGCTAATTCTGTGAAACTTCAAATTTCACTGAGGTGCCTCCCGTTTCTCCCTTCCTCTGGGAGGTTTCTACAGCTCGGTTGGAGTCAACCTGTGGTTATTTCAAATAATTGCACATAATGTCTTTAGAAGCACTCACAGCTGAGAATGCTGTGAGTGATTATGTGAAAGCGAGCACGTTTACTTTTAAACCCCCTACTCTTCCTAGAGCTGCCTGTCTGCAGCGATGTGGGGAGAAGTTCAATGGTTTTACTGGCTGAGAGAAGGTTCCATAAGGACAATTATTACTGCAACACTCCACATATATGGACTCTCTGGTAGAGAAGCTCGCCCTCAGTGAAAGACACATCAACGCCATCAAAAAGATAAATTAGATGCTGGTGAACTGAAATCCAGTCTTAAGTGTGATATCTGGAGAAAATCAGGTACATGACGCATATTTCTGTTGGTTTTTGGGGTGAAATTATGATTGTTAGAACCACTGACCTTATGCAAATGTTTATTGTGAAAGTCATGGTTACGTGAATAGAAACAAATCATGGCTACCAAAAACCAACATATAAACTTGTAAAAGAACATTGTCTTATATTAATGGAATAAAATAAGTCTATATTTACTCCCCTTTGATCAAAAATGTACTGCTCGAATAAATCACTCAGACGTTGAAACTCTCTCAAAATTTTCCTTTTGTTCATTCCATGATTCATGTCAATCTTCCTTTACGGTAAATCGGTTTTGACTCGTGCGTCACTGAACAAGCACTTCCTGACTTTTTGGCTCTTGAGTTCTTGTCATCATGCCAGTTCTTTCTGAACAGTCACAAATATACACAAATGAGAAATGGACAACCGAATAGGCCGGATAATAAAAATCCAGTATTTCCTGCCTGAGTGGTTTACCACTAAACAAGGTGCCTTGTACAGGCTTACTTAACCACAAGCTCATATATTTGGGGGGTATTGGAGAGTAGATTGAATAAACTGTCATAATCAGAATAATCTGTCGCATATATTTGGACAGCCATGCAATCTCATTAATAGCACATTGTTTAATTTGCAAAGTCGCAGAAACTGATAAATAATTGTAGTGATTAAATCCCCTTTTCGCCAACTTTCTTTCAGGGGAATTATGTTTATATTAACTGCAATCTTATTGATTTTGTGCTGCGGACTTCTAATAAGTCAACTTAAATATAGAGCTGGCAATGGTTGACATTGTTTGTATTTATTTATATATTGACATGGAAAGATTACCCAACTCCCCCAAAGTACTACACATGTAACTGACTTTTAGAATGGAAGAAGTAACTTTTTACAAATAAAATGAGTCAATTACATTTTATTTAGCAACAAAAATGCAGGGGTCAAAGGTCTCACTTCCTCACAGTCTCTCTCTCTCTTTCTCTCTTCAGCAGTAATTGACTTCCAACAATGCATGCCATTTTTTGGGCTACTTTCCCACATGCATACAGTACACACCTGTAAACATCAGTATGAAAGAGGTACCAGTGTACTTATCTAAACAAATCAGACGTTATTCATAAGGCTTCCCATCTATTTTGTCAAAGTCAGCTATCAGTTGAAGACCTCTCTGAGAGACATGCGCCTGTAGATGAGCAGGTCTGATAAACACTGAATATATGTTTTTGCTGAGCACGGTCACAGAGGCAACACCTTGCTGTGCGAGTTGACGTTCCTGCTTAGGGAACTCAGCCGGCTCCTCCTGTTCAGGGAGCGCATGTTGATGCTGACGGTGTTGGGCATGTGTGCGATGTAGCGGCCACACGACAGCATCTCCAGAGCGGCATCACGGAACTGTGGGACATGTAAAACAAAACAAAACAAAAACATTCACCTGCATTTATAATCATTTTTCCGCTTGCGTGAATAAATATTTGTGTAAACTCGGCTTTTGAGTCTCCCTTTGAGAAGCAGCATGCGTTCACCTCAGCTGCTTACCTGCTTGTTGGAAAGGAAGTAGATAATGGGGTTGTAGACGGGGCTGGTCTTGGCAAAGTACATGGGCATGGTGGCAACCAGTGGAGGGATGTAGAGCGTTGGATCCACGACAACTACCACTGACAGTGCCGTGTAGGGCAGCCAGCAAGAAAAGAACGCGATGATCATGGCGAGGACCATGCTGACGGCATGATCGTTCTCCTTCTGGCTGGAACGCCCGCCCTGCACCTCCACACTCCTGTTCAGCTACAAGTAGAAAGGAAATGTTCCCCCAATAATACACATTTTTAGTCTGTAGATTGTAAACTGCAAGCAGATGAGAAGTTTTGAATCCAAGTCTGAAGGTGTAAAAGTGTAATAAATGGCCAGAAGCCGTCATAAGCTCACCGTATTCATGGAAGTGAGGACTTTGGCGTAGCAGTAGATGATGACTGCAACAGGTACAATGAAGCAGAGGAGCGTGTAGAGGACTAGGTAGCTGTAGTTGCTCCACGATCTCTCCTCCCAGGCCAGAGAGCAGGAGGTCTGGACTCCCTCGGGTCCATAGCCGCTCCAGCCAAATAAGGGAGCCACCGCCCAAAACAAGCAGAAGGTCCAGACGATTAGCAGCCCGTGGATGCTTCTCCTCATGCTCAACTTGAGGGCATTCCTCGGTCTACACACCACGTTGTAGCGCTCGTAGGAAAGCAGGGTCAAAGTGCAGAGTGACACCAGACCTGGGAAAGAGAAACAAGTTAACATAGAAGAAATGGAAGTAAGTTGCACTGGAGGTTTCAACAATAAACATGACATTTGCAAAGATCTGATTACAGTAGAAGGGCCCTTTTCAAGAGGTATCCTATGTAAAACCATAGTTAATCAATATTCTAGCCATAAGATTGTGTTTTACAATGTCACAGAAATAACAAAATAGCTCTTAAAAAGCCCATAAAAAACAAACTCTCGCACTACTCCACTTACCGAAATAATTGACTGCAAATCCTTGAAAGATGCAGGCTGTGTGGCCGATAAAGAAGGAGCCGTGGTAGTTGGTGATGGTGACGACCAGGGAGCCGCACAGGCCGATCATCAGGTCCGACACGGCGAGGCTGAGGATGAACACGTTCATGGGCTGGAGGAGGGACGGATTCCTCACCAACACGGTTATGACGAGGACATTGTTGAAAACTGTCAACACCGTGTTGATGAACATGAGGAAGGAGAGTATGCTGTAGCCCACCCGAGGGAAGATGGTGGGCGTGATAGTCAGCATCTTGCCGTGGATGGACGGGGGAGGAGAGCCGGAGCTCCACAGCGTGCTGTTGCTGTCCATGGTGCCCGTGTGAAGTCCAGCTTTGGTGGAAGAATTGCGAGGCCAAAGACTGAAACCTGCAGCCACTTAGCTCAGCTCGGGACACGGCATCCCCGATCTCATCCTTTCTGATCCCTCTATAACCACTCGGCTTTGCTTATTTTTTAACAACTCAGATTGTGCACCTGCCTGATGGGAGGAAAAAAATCCTCAAATGCAATATGGGAAATTGGTCTCTAACACGATTTGGATGGATTAGTTCCAATAAGCCCACTGCAATAATGGTGATTAGAAAGTAGGTTATTAAGGAGTGATGAATTAGCCCTTAAATTTAATTTTCAAATCATGAAATAGTTCTGCCTTTTAGTTGTTTACATATAAAATGAAAAAGAGCATACAAATGGATTACACCTTAAATCAATGCATACTTGCTAATCTAAGTATCCAAGGAAAACAATTGACTTTCAATTTATGACTCATGGATCATTAAACCCTATTCACGTTTAATAAACAGTGAAACAAAATGACACTTCATATTTCAACTACAGAAACACAAATAAACAATGAGGTTTTGGTTCTGGCCACAGCTATTCTAGAGTTCCTCATGTCCAAATTAGATGTCAAATACATATTTAAGCCGTCTTTCCAGCACATATGAAAACATTTCTTGCATGTTCTGCAGAGGTGTGAAACTTAAAACAAATGAGGCCTTTCCGGTCAAACGGCAACACTCCTAAAAGAACATTTGCATTTCCTAAAACATGGACATAAGAAAATTCAATATTCAATACAAAGATCTCCGATCATAAATGTGCGGCATGTATCACATCACATGAGATGTACCAAGATGCAACGGACTATGATGGACTAGTGCAAAAATACACACACTGCTTTAATGTAACAAAGTAGATTAAGGCAACAGTTTGAAACGTGAAAGGTCACACCCGAGTATTACCATTTCACGGTCAGTCTCGCGTAATGTTATAGATGTGAAGCATAGAGAAATGCAAAGGTAATCTTCAATCCATACTGTAGACACATGACTGAGATGATGTGTGACTGCCCCCTGTTGTTTGGACTGTGTACATACAGCATCTTTGCACCATTTTTCAATATACAGTACCTCTCTTATACACACACACACACACACACGTTTCAAATTCGGTAAGACATAAATATAAGTACAAAGTGTCTAAAATTAAAACGTCTCAGTGCTCCTTCTGTCTACGTGTCATTTAGCTTAAAAAGCACTAATCCACTGGTCATCTTAAAAGACATCAATCTTTGAGAGGAGGTTCGTAACTAACTAGTTTCATGCTAAACTAACAACAGTCAAGGGTGATCATTGCCAGCTAAACATCTCTTAAAATGTGGCATGCATGTTGTATATTTCTAGATCTCTAAAATGAATAGTGTAATTAAGTCTGCAATGGACCATCATCCAATCTAAGTCTCCCTCATTTTAATCGGAGTCTACGTTCATCTTGCTGAGTTGTGGGGAGACGCTAATGCCACCAGGGCTGTGTTCAGGCCAGAAGGGGCCCTCGTGCTGCAGAGGGGTACGCCGAGGGAAAAAGGTGTGCTGGAAGTCATAGTTGAGCAGGCAGCTGATGGAGGCCATGTAGATGTCAGCAAAGCGGGAGAGTCGGCGGGAGAAATAGGTGGCGTTGTGGTACGTCCGGAAGAGACTCCCGAACTGAGCGTTAAAGATGTCCTTCGTCTGCGACCTGCCACGGACACATATTCAAAACCAAAAAGATGAGCATACACCAGCTCGACAAGATCGCAATAAATCAACTCCTCCTGACTGCTGGAGTAATTGTCTCAACTACCTCATGTCTTCTCTCTCCTTGATCCACTCCTCCACGACAGCTTGAGAGGCGGCATCCCTGTGCACCTGTCGGGGAGCAGGGCAACGAAGGTAAGCGCACACATTCGATGATAGAGTCAAGGACACAGGTTTTTATGAGGCCTCCTGACCTGCATCTGTTCAATGAGGCCCGTCAGCGCCTGTAACCACGCCATCATGTGCATGTACTGTTCCGTGTTCATAATCTTGATCTCCTTCCTCAGCTCGGGGATAATGGCGCCCGTCCTCCAGCCATGTTTCAGAGTCAGATCCTGCAAAACAGTGGACCAGAACTGTCAATTATTCAAGTATTCACCTTCTTTTACTAACATTTATGATTTGCTTTTCATCCAACTATGACATTAGCCTTCTCTGGAGGAAAAAAACATGGCGCCACACCAGATGTGTGTGACTGCGCAGACCCAATGGCCCTAGTGTGGCTTTCTCAGAGGAATATGACAAAAAATGAATTGGAAAAAAAATGACTGTGCCTCTGCAGCTCATTAGGTGACCAGTGACAACAAGTCATAAGGAACATAATGGAAGACGGATGACTGAAAAACACGTTTTCTGGGGATTCGTATGTGAAATTGGAACCAAATTTAGCTTCATTCCTCCCTCCGCGGTAACTTCTTACGACCTCAGACGGGCTTCTGCTGTGTGCCGGTGGTCGGTGTAAACCACAAACGCCATGTTCCATTGTCCCAAACAAGTGCAACGTTTGACAGCTGGCAGCCTGCCAGCAGGCAAGGCATCACGCCAAAGACGTAAACTCTGAGTTTCATTACCATAATTTACCGCTGATCAGACACATTGACGTATCCGAGTCGATGTGGCTCACTGTGACTCAGTGAAGTGTCTGTTTTAGTGCAGATGATGGGCAGGTTTTGTATGGGTACAGGTATAAAAAAAAAGGTAACTAATCTGCAGTGATAATCAGTAGTAGGGATTTGGTTGATTTTTCAGGAGAAACTGAAAATAAAATACAGGTCAACCAAACCTACTGCAGTGCTACGGTAACTGTGTTATAGTCCATTAAGAACTACTTTTTAAACCCAATTATTTTACTGTCTTTCTTCGGCAGTCTCTAAGCATCCAATTATGTGCTTCTTCTGACAAATCGTTAAGATTTAGGCTGTTGCGTATCAAAAATAACTAATTCTATGAGAAACATACGCATTTTAAATGGAGCACGGTCAAGGCAGGGTTTCGATATTTGTTTATATACAGTAACTCTTCATAATACTGCCTTTTGTAGTAAATACGGATGCTGCTTACTGCCAAAGTCGCTGTAGATGTGATCCGCCGAGTAGAAGCACTTTGATTCTTCTCCAGCGTGAGTCTCAGGACTCATAAAGGTTTCCGTACGGGGATTCCGGAAACCCACGTTAACAAAATCCGGCAAAATTTCTGTCGGCAGGGGGCAGGAATTATGAGAACATCTGTTTGTAGATCTTCCCTTTTTCCAACTAGTGAATCCTGTCCCACAGCGACCCACCTTTGTCGGTCACTCGCCGGAAAGGTCTACCAGTGAAAAACACACAAAGATACATATGACCTAACAGACACACCCAAACACCCAGTGACCAAGTTAACCAGCTGGCCCAGTGGGGTGGCGGGGGGGGAGAGGAAACAGGCACAAAGTTAGAGAGCGTATACACTTACTTTCTCCTGTCATTAAAGAAACCAGGTTTGTCAGCCTGAACGATCACAACATCAAAAAGGTCTCGCCAGTCCTTCCCCACAATGTAGTTCATTCCTCGGTCCCTGAGGAATGAATGAAGATTCGCAAAGTCAACTTGTGTGCAGCATCATGAGGCTACCGTGACAAACACTGTCAAGTCAAAGCGACGCACCACCGAAGGTTTGTTTAAAGACTCGATGAAACTGCCATTACTTTCAACATATAGTTCGTTTCACATCATATAGATTATATACATCATGGTAATGTCACACAATTTTGGGATTTCCAGGGAATAAAAAGTCTACATAATCACATGGTTTCGAATACTCCTGTATGAAATAAACTCTCAACAGATAACGTGGAAAAAGGTATTGTCTCATTTAAATAAGAACTAGATTGTTCTATTTTCTAATCTGAATATGTGCTTGTTATCATGTTGGACAAGGTAACTGTGTAATACGATCTCTCAAAATGATTGAATTCAAAGATAATAAATGATCGTATTGAATTATTGCTCAGTCCACTTTTCATCCGCAGTTAGCTATGGGACTAAAAAAAAGACTGCAACAAAGGAAAATAACTGGCTGGGGATGATAAGACTGTTAATAGATTTTGAAAATCTTTGAATATGGATCAGACAGGACCCTGAGGTCAAAGTATTGCATTGGCAAAAACAGGGGAACATTAGTGTGTGTGTGTGTGTGTGTGTGTGTGTGTGTGTGTATGTGTGTGTGTGTGTGTGCGCAGCCTCTCCTTTTGATGTTTAGTGCTGCGAAGACTGAACGTAATGAACCATTGATTCAAGGACACGGGTTTGATGTTTTCGGGCGCTGGGAAGGCCTCTGAGGTCGAATGTGCAAAGCAAGCCGTTACGCGCAATCGAGTCCGACTTCAAAAGCGGCTCATAGTCGATGACTTACAATGAATTAAAAATACTTGCGGACAAAAAGCACTTTGATGTGCGGTTGCTGAACTACAAAAGTTGAGGCATTAAATAGGTATTAGTGTAGCGATACGAGGGAGTTTTAATTAATCATAGGACGTACACAAAGTCAAATGGGCTGTTGGTAATGAGGAACATCTTTTTTCCGTGCTCTGACAGCTTCTTCAGCACAGCGTGGCTTTGCTCACCATAGCAAATGTACTTCCCTGCAAAACCAGAAAAAACAAAGAGCGATGGTGATTTAATCTGCACAGACGAAGCTGTGACTATTACTTGTATGTCACAGCCTTGTTCTTTCCCGAATTAACGGCGCCGACTTAGATGCGGCCATGTCATTTCTCAAACAAAGTTAACAGGCCATGAATCAAAGGCCTTTACCGATATCTGCCTCCACGGCGCGGTACATGATGCCCTTGACGTGAACATCTCGAATAGCTTCCTGGGAAAAAGGGAAAAAAAAGTAGAGCCAGGAAGAGACACAATGTGGCCATTTGGCTCCAGGGGCAACACTTTGTATGTAAACGGGTGACTTGGGAGGCACAAAAACAGTGCATCTATGAATACAAATGAAATATAAAAAGGAAGCAGACCCTGGAGTTTAGTGGCTTTGATGACACAGAGAGATTTTCCAACACATTTTTCAAAAGTGTAACGTGCGCTTTTGAATCAGTGAATGGGTAAATAGACTCTCCCTTGAGAAAATACACATTTATGGGCAACTTTAAAAGACGCTTATGATTTTCAAAGGATATCTGATTCATGCAAGAACAAGAGTTATCGATGAATAAGAAACCAGCCTTGGCAGGAAAAAAAAAAAAAAGATTGAGCTGTGTCTCCTTGAACAGAATAAAGAGCCACTCGTAGAAACCGAGAGCGCGTGTGAGGGCTTTTAACGACGGCGCTCCGTCAAAAACGCCGCACTGTCACATGAATGGACGAGAGCAGCATGACAGCTGCGCTCAAAGGGAGAAGGCGGGCGTGGTTTCTCTCCGCTCTCCTTCTGAAGTGGCAGAGCCACCGAAGAACAGGCGCAGATGGCTGGAGGCGGGCTCGCCCCGACTAAAATTAGACTGGCGGCTAAAATTAAGACTGGATTGAACAGCCAACGTGTGAGCGTTAACATTTACCGATATGTGGCCGGACTTTAATGCCTTGACGCACACATTGGCCCCTGTGAGATACAATAACAAGGGAGTACAGATACCGTATGCCGCCACCGATCGCAAAGACACAAAATAATACCAGAATTGTTCACCTTCACGTCTTTGTAGAGATGCACCGGCTCATAGTCGATGTTGTGCTTCATGAAGAAGTCGTTGACACAACACAGGAGAGTCATCTCGGGCAGGGAGAATATGTCCATGAACTGTTTCATGGTGTGGCCGTGGGAGCTCTGCAGAGCAGTCATTAGCATCATTATATTTCAGTCGAGCCTACTTTATCATAGATACAATAGAGAGACGACCATCACCTTCCCATAGAAGTCGCTCATGTTCTCCAAAGGTACATGGCAGCCTTCGTACATGGCGATGACTTCCTCGTCAGGGACGGGATGAAGACCTCTGTGGAAGAAACACAAAAATATGAAATCCTTAGACAAGGATGTTTGGATTTATATCGTGCCACTGAACAGCAGGAAGGACGTGCAGCATTGTCCAAAACTAAACTGATGTGAGAAGCAACAAAGCAAACATGATACCTGTATACGGTTCCCAACTGGATGTAGTGAAAGGCATCGATCTTCATCAGCAGCGCCTGTTTCAAATCATTAAACGTTTCCACATTAATGATCAGATAATAAAAACTTAATGCACGGTGAGATTGATGCAAAACATAAAACCCGGTGCGGTTTTCGAGTTGGATAAGCAAAGACCTTCTCACCTTCTGAACATCGTAGTGAAGTCCTCTCACGGCAAAATTTGGAATATACTCGTAGTTTCTCAGACCCTCTGGATACTAATACAGAAGAAAAACAAAATACTTACGGTCAACAGTACAGGGCATTACATCTGCTTGATTTAGGTTTCCCTTTGACGGATTGATAAGGTAAACCTTCCTCTGCATTCTTATTTGTATTAGAAAAACAAACCATTCTCATAGTTGTTGCTATTCAACTAGTTACCACATCAAATTCGGCGTCACTATCATCCTGTTTGCATCAGAAAAAATAATGTGCCCAGCGAGTTGCGCACACACATTGTGGTTTGTGATGAGAATGTCCCGCGCTATGTTGAAGATCAGGGTGTGCAGGTCCCTGGAGTAGAAAGCCAGGGTGTAGTCATAGTCGAAGCCGTAGATCTCGGTGTCTCTGAGGCTCATCTCATTGTTTGCAAAAATGGTGTCCGGGTTGATGGAGTTGGCGAGAATGGCTGGGATCAAATCTAAAAAGGAGAGAAACACAGATGCAGTTTCCAACCTTTCCAACCGCTATGACAGAAAGGCATAAACGTATAGTATAGTGTAGTTGGATCTGGTCTGGAGTTTAGTCTCTTCGTATTATCCACTAAACAAATGCAAAAAGTCACCAGATACATGCATTAAATATGCAGCATCCATTACACTACAGGACGTCAATCTAGGATTGCGTTGCATTTTACAGGTGTTTGTGTAGTAATTACTCTGCGCCCTGTAGGTGTGTGACACAAATAGACATGTCAGCATTTCCTATAGTTACAATACATCATTCCCACCACATGGAAGGCTGCTGACGCGATGCTGTAGAAGCTGGAGGGCACATTAGTCCGCTGGAAAATATCGGTCACGACACGATTATAAAAGCAATAACAGCGGTGCGTCTCGGAGCACACGTGCTCTTTACCTTGCGTCTGCCTTTTGGTCTCATTGTAAACAGACCGCAGCCTCTCTGTCGTGTCCTGAGCCCCCGACGAGCAGCGGAAGACACGCGCCGCGTAGTTCGGGGATCCGGGCTGACGTGACAGTAAGTGACCGGCTCCGCGGGCCACCGCACCGGGGCTCCGTCTCCACGAGCGAGACGTGAACGGCCGGTGTTGTGGACTCTGTAGCACGTTACAAAAGGCCTTCGCCTTCTGCAGACAGTCACTGTGCTTCAGGAGAGACGCGAGGGGCAAAGACAAGGGCGCCATGACTCTCGGGGTTGCAGAGCGCGGGTACGTCGCGCTGCAGGGCTCCCGCAGCGATGCACGCAGCTCAGCAGCTCTTCTGTAAATACCGAGAGTGCGTCCCCGCTGGATGACAGCGGCTTGCGTCACTTCCGGGTTTAACAGACGTAGCCGACGAACCAGCGAATCAGAAGCTGTTGCGTCTGGAGATCGGCCGCTTCCTGTTGTCGGGATAAATGTATTAAATCTGTACAAACTAGGAGAGGACTGTTGTCATTGAGGCCAGCGGGAGTTTGTCGAGCGGTAAAAGACTGGAGATATTTAAAATACACAACTACAACTATAGCAGACAGTTGACGTTTGTAGCCTTATCCAATGCCCACCCAACCAAGTACACACCAGTTAGCTAGGTTTGAATAATAATACGCATATTTGTATGACGATGTGACACTATTTACATTAGTCCCCTATCAATACGTATTTATAGTGTGTATGGGGAAAGGGACTTTTCAATCGCTGCATTTTCGACTTCTTGACACAACAGCGATAGTATGTGGTCAAAGGTTAGTAGTGCAACGTGTAGTCTTCCTAAGTGTCTTTCTTTAACACTAAGATCTCTAAGTACAATGACTGCATACGATCTTGTCTACATACTAGAAGTACTAAGATAGTCATTATGCAATTTAGACAATCGTAGACCGTAACACACGTATATGCAAAAGTGACAATAAATGGAGAAATAAAACACATCTTGAGTCATCTAGCCCCAGTGTCACTCGGCTGTAACATTGCATGGAAAAAAAGTTAAACTTTTCCCATAAGGAGAGGTACATGTTAGGAAGTGATGTGCTGATTATTCATTCTTGGCCAATGGTGTCTAGCCACGATTTTGGAGTATTGACTTATGTTGAAGAATCCGATTGGACAACATGTACCAGGTTTCCAGCTGTGATTGGACGGTCGTTGTGCGTGGTGCACTGCCATTGGTCCGTGGTCCCCGGGTTGATAAAGTCAGCTCTTGCGGAGGGAGAGGCGTATTGTCAGTCTTTCTTGGCTGTGCTGCGTGCGCGTATCTCCCGGCGTTGTTTCAGGAGCTGAAGACACACCTCGTCGTTCACGCGGTTCTGCAAAATGAAACGAGTTTGGGCGATAGGTCTCCTCTTTGCACTCGTTGCCTTTGGTGAGTGGCGGATTTTTTTTGTTGTTGCTATTTTGTCTTACTTTTAATTACCCAACATTCTAGCTAACGTTATCCATTGAGCTAAGGCGAATGTTAACCTGGTTCTTCTCCACTGCTTTGTGACTAAAAAAATGTTGCACCATCTCATAGATTTATTTTTTTAGTCCAATTTGTAGTGCTAGACCGCTTGATAAATTGGGCTTCAACGCACTTCTTGTAGACACGCTAACAAGCCGTATTTCTTACTGCTTTTCGGGAGCAAAACCTCGATGCGACGTTTCCGTTCAGTCCGGTTGATGCCGGCTAACATCTCCACTAAAGCGTTGCTATGGTATCATGTAACGTTACGTTAACGTGACTTCCGTTTCCCACTTAACTAACATGCTGCCGTTCTTATTTAATAGTGATTTCCACTTCGCAAGGCCTCGTTCTAAATGAAAGGGATCTTGAGTGGTGAATACGTCTGAAATACACCTGTAATAGATTTTGGTTTTAATCCCCCTGCAGCTGCTGTGAAGGCGGAGGATGAGCTGGACGTCGACGGGGTGGTGGAGGAGGACTTTGGTAAAAGCAGAGATGCCTCCAGAACCGATGATGAGGTGGTACAGAGGTAGGTGTCTCTTTCCCCCTTTCCCCCCCCCCCCCCCCTTTTTTTTTTTTTTGTTTGAACACCTTTTTAAGAACGTGTGAACCGAGGTTGTCCAGATCAGGAAAAGGTCAACTAAACCCAGAGTTAACAGCACAAGGTCAACGTGCCCGGGCGTGTGCACACCAATGCTCATAGCGGCTCTTGAATTGTAGTGGTGGTAAATACCTGCAACGCACAGCCGTCATTAAAACCTCGGGCCCCTGTGTGTCTTTGGCTTTAACCCGGCTACTGATCCCCCAGAGGCAACGACAGATTTGTTTTCTGTTTTGCAGCTGCGATTTGTTGTCCTGCCCTGTTTTGATGTGGTGTTTGTGTGCATCTGTCTATCTCCAGAGAGGAGGAGGCTATCCAGCTGGATGGTTTGAATGCAGCTCAGATAAAGGAAATCCGAGAGAAGTCTGAAAAACACGTCTTTCAGGCAGAAGTCAACCGAATGATGAAGCTGATTATCAACTCCCTCTACAAGAACAAGGAGGTGAGTGAGGATAAAGAACATCTTGATGTACACTCATGGTGGATATACGGCCATCAGAGAGGAATAATGATGATAATGACAATGAACTTATTGCAGACCGTAAAACCGATACATATAGCTATTAGATTGGCTTTCAATTTTATAATGTTCCTCTCAAGTGGCCAATGTGTACAAAAATTATTTTAGGGCTCTGGCATTTTGACTACTCGGCAGCAATATTGTGTTCCAGACCTCTTGCGTAATGTTAAACTAAATAATATGTTTTCCTTTGTCAGATCTTTCTTAGGGAGCTCATTTCCAACGCTTCGGATGCTCTGGATAAGATCCGCTTGTTGTCTCTGACCAATGACGAGGCAATGGCCTCCAACGAAGAGCTGACCATCAAAATAAAGGTACAGGCAGGAACAACTTGCTGTACGACGCAGTCCTTCTTGGGAATGTTGATCGCTGTTCATGATCTACTGGTAACATAATTGCTTTTTTTTTTTTCTCCTCTCCAGTCTGATAAGGAGAAGAACATGCTTCACATCACTGACACTGGCGTTGGAATGACCAAAGAGGATCTGGTGAAGAACTTGGGCACCATTGCCAAGTCTGGCACCAGCGAGTTCCTCAACAAGATGTCAGACATGCAGACTGAGGACCAATCCACCTCGGAGCTTATTGGCCAATTCGGTGTGGGTTTCTACTCTGCGTTCCTCATCGCCGACAAAGTCATTGTGACGTCCAAACACAACAACGACACCCAGCACATCTGGGAGTCCGACTCCAATCAGTTCTCCGTCATTGAGGACCCCCGCGGAGACACACTGGGCAGAGGAACCACCATCACGTAGGTTTAATGTTCTGTTGTTTTTGTTTCGTTCTAAAAGTCTCCTCCTAAAGGTTTTGGCTACTTTCTTAAGGATGATAAACTGCTGTTCGTTGCGTTTGGTCTTCACACCTGTTCTTAGATTACCATGAAACTTGTGCAACAATGAAATCATCCCCATCTTTTTCTAATCGCAGACTGGTCCTGAAAGAGGAGGCCTCTGACTATCTCGAGCTGGAGACCATTAAGAACCTCGTCAAGAAATACTCCCAGTTCATCAACTTTCCCATCTACGTCTGGGCTAGCAAGGTGATTACTTGAGACCGGCCCCCCCACCCACACTTCTCTTTGACGGAGTTGAGCCCAGTGTCTTATAAAGTGACATTGTTTCTTCCCCACAATATGCCAGACTGAGACGGTTGAGGAGCCCATTGAGGAAGATGCTGAAGCAGCAGAGGAACCAGAGAAGGAGGCTGCTGAGGAGGAGGCAGAGGTAGAGGAGGAAGAGGAGGAGGACAAAGACAAAGACAAGCCCAAGACTAAGAAGGTAGGAAGTCTGTGTATGATCTTTAAATGTGGGGTGTCCCCTACTGAGACTTGCATAGTCAAATCGGTTTCCCTTAGCAGTGTCTTTTTTTATTTAGTTTTTCTTGTCTAGTCAAATGTAAAAACCTGATTTGCTGAGACTAGTGGGTGCGGTGCTGATACAGCGAAGAGACCAATAGACTGACTGCTTCACCTGCTTGTGTTTCATGGCAATAAATGTTTGTTTTGGTAAAAAGTCTACAGAGGACAAGGAAGAGACAAGCCGCAAAAAGTGCTTTCTACGCGTCTCTTTTTTTCTTTTTTCTTTTTTTTTTTATATGTTGATACCCGAATTGGTTGTTTGAAAAAGAAAACTCAGGCTTTTTTTTATTATTGTGTTTGTAGGTTGAGAAGACCGTGTGGGACTGGGAACTGATGAATGACATCAAGCCCATCTGGCAAAGACCAGCCAAGGAGGTCGAGGAGGAAGAGTACAAGGCTTTCTACAAAACCTTCTCCAAGGTGGGCACCTGAACGCAGCGCTTTGTGGAGCCACCGCGTCCACGCGTGCGGCCTCCTGGTCGACTCGACTAGTTTCATGTTATTTAATCAAACCCCCGGTTTCCCACTTTAACAGGACTCTGAAGACCCTCTGGCCCACATCCACTTCACGGCCGAGGGGGAGGTGACCTTCAGATCGATCCTGTTCATACCCACGGCAGCGCCCCGCGGCCTGTTTGACGAGTACGGCTCCAAGAAGAACGACTACATCAAGGTGCTTCCCTAAACAGTGTTTTTTCCTTTTCTTGTCCTTTCTCTAGAAGGATGTTCGGGATTTCCCCACCACCCCTGTTTTCTAAATGATTGTTTCTGTCACAGCTGTTTGTAAGGAGAGTTTTCATCACTGACGACTTCAACGACATGATGCCCAAGTACCTGAACTTTGTGAAGGGAGTGGTGAGTGCCTCTAAACTTTGGCATGTGCTCATGTCCAGTTTGGTCTTTGCCTAATCGGCACTGTGATTTAATAATTGTTTGTTTTGCTAGGTCGACTCTGATGACCTTCCCCTGAATGTGTCAAGAGAGACTCTGCAGCAACACAAACTGCTCAAGGTGAATTTAATGTCTGACATTTCTACACCCTTTAAATACAAATGGTGACTTCTTAAATCACGTTTTTAAGTGTAATCACCAACTTTATAACTGTAACTGAAGCTGTGATCCTTTCTCCCTCCGTCCAGGTTATCCGCAAGAAGCTGGTGCGCAAGTCTTTGGACATGATCAAGAAGATTGCAGAGGCGCAGTACAACGAGAAGTTCTGGAAGGAGTTCGGAACCAACATCAAACTGGGCGTCATTGAGGATCACTCCTACAGGACCCGTCTGGCCAAGCTGCTGCGCTTCCAGACCTCCAACAGCGACACAGAGGTGGCTAGCCTGGAGCAGTACGTGGAGCGCATGAAGGAGAAGCAGGACAAGATTTACTTCATGGCTGGTACCAGCAGGAAGGAGGTGAGTTTGGGGAATTCAAACCGTTTCTGCTTCTGAGTTAAATGACAGGAGCAGCATAAAATGTCAAGTACAAGGTGGGTGGAAATTCCAGAGACTGACGTCAATTTGATCATCCCGTTCTCCATCTGCAGGCCGAGTCTTCTCCCTTCGTGGAGCGGCTGCTGAAGAAAGGCTACGAGGTGATCTACCTGACGGAGCCGGTGGACGAGTACTGCATCCAGGCACTACCCGAGTTTGACGGAAAGCGCTTCCAGAACGTCGCAAAGGAGGGCGTGAAATTTGACGAGAGTGACAAGACCAAGGAGAAGAGGGAGGCCCTGGAGAAGGAGTACGAGCCTCTCACCACCTGGCTGAAGGACAAGGCCCTGAAGGACATGGTAGATAATTATTTTGTGATATTCGTGACGTGGGCCCCGAACAAATATTCAGAGCAGTTGCTAAGTTCTGTCTGCTTCATGTTCTTTGCCACAGATCGAGAAGGCTGTCGTCTCTCAGAGGCTGACCAACTCCCCCTGCGCTCTGGTTGCCAGTCAGTACGGCTGGTCAGGAAACATGGAGAGGATCATGAAGGCACAGGCTTACCAGACCGGAAAAGACATTTCCACAAAGTGAGTTTTATGATCCGGTTCGTCATCGTGCCTGAATGTTCCCTGAGCTCCTTTATGCTAATTCCCGTCCTCTCTTTAGCTATTATGCCAGCCAGAAGAAAACTTTAGAAATCAACCCCAAACATCCTCTGATCAAGCAGATGCTCAACAAAGTCCATGTAAGTCTGACCACTGTCCTGGCACTACTTTAGTACTGCTTGGAAATGATTCATAATTGTGCTGTCATTTCTTTATAAAGGTTAAGTTGTTGTAGTTTCTTTACACGTGAAACCGGACCAGAGAATTGATCATTTTCATTCCCTTGTGCATCAGGATGATGCTGAGGACCAGACTGCGTCAGATCTGGCGGTGGTCCTGTTCGAGACGGCCACGCTGCGCTCCGGCTACCAGCTGGCTGACACGAAGGCCTACGGAGAGCGGATAGAGCGCATGCTGCGACTCAGCATGAACGTAGCTCTGGACGAACAGGCGAGTGGACGCGAGCCATTTTAGGGTGCCCAGTTGGGTCATTTTTAACTACGCTCGTTGATGGCCGTAGATTGCTAGGCTGCTATGTTAAAGATTACGCAACTATGCTACAGATTGAGGAGGAGCCGGAGGAGGAGCCGGAGGAGGAGCCGGAGGATCAAGCCGAGGATGACTCTGAAGATAAAGAAGAAACCGTAGATGACGAGGAGGAAACGGTGAGATTGCTTACAATTCTGTGGGATCTTATTAAAAAAATAGCATGTGGAGTATTTGGTTCTCGAAGCAGTTTCTTCATAACTTTAATTTTTGTTCCCTTGCAGATAAAATTTGACAAAACTGAACTGTGAAGCACTGAATGAAGAGCGTGATAAGAGAGCTGGAATTTGAGTCTTGTTCCAGCGCCACCGTGCTCCACATCTTCATGGGTGGGAGGGGGGAGGGAGGGTAGCTGGGTTGTTGCTGTTTTTTTTTAAGGCGAGCATTGTTTTTGTTTTTTTTATTACATTCCTCATGACTGTAAATTTGTTAATATTTAACTGACCTGTTTATGGAAGGAAGTGATCCTCTCTTGATCGAAATAAATGTTCCCTGGAAAAAGGACGTATGGTGTTTGTTTGATGTTAACAATACACAAGTAACTGATGGGAAGTTTCCTCACACAACGTTTTGTGGATGGCTGACCGATTCTCTACTCCTTGTTCTTTATCATTCATGCACACCCCCAAACTCAATAAAGGTGCATCTGTCTGAGTTAAAAATGATCTGTCAATGACCGCTTTCAGTTAGTGAATGACTCAAGTAAACAATCAAGTTTTAGATTGCATAGTAATTTGATATAACGTTTAACACTCCACAAAACCACAGCTTAAATGGAGTAAACTATATTATACAGGGCCAAAGCATCATTAGTAAAAGCGCAATTGTAGCTTGGATTTTTCAAATTTAACTGATTAAATCAATTGTATCATTTATGTGGGAAGAATACTAAATAAAACATTCCACAACCACAGAAGTATATTGTCTGATTACAATAGTCCTCTTGCACCTTTTATGTAATACTGCAAATACATTGAAAATATAAACCTCATTAGATCATCAATAATGTGCCTTTTTCACCTGATCTCAGCTTACTGGTGTAATACTTTTTGGCTGCAGTAATCTGGTATGTAAATCCTATGTATTTCATCATGCATTACAGTATCTTTCCCTCTAGGTGGCAGTCATACACAAATATGAATAGCACTGTTTAGAAAAAAGACCAAATTGATTAAATTATAATTTGGATTTTGGCATAATCATTTTCAAAACCTACATCTTGTGTGTTGTATGACCCATAACAGTTTATTAGGCCCAACTTGTGCAACGGTCCTGCAATAAATCCCCTCGTGAAGGTTATCTCATTTCCCATCGTTCGTTAAACCGTACTAAAACCTTTAGTATTTTTACAGGTCCTGACCAAATGCTGTTTTCATAGTAAAATTGTGTCTTCACAAAGAACATTTTATAGACACTATTCATTTATCTCACAATCTTGATTGTGTTATCACTATAGTATTTTAAGATAAATCTACAATGTCTTATGTTGGGATGAAAATCGAATTATTAGGAATTGAATGTTTTCCCTCAAGTCTGATTAAGTCTTCATTTAGTTCGCTAAACATGTCTGCTCATCCTATTGTACTGTGTATTATGGCCCATAATGGAGTCCATATGAAGCGTGTTAAATGTATTAGTTCTTAATCCGGTTTATTATAATAAAAGGTTTTCACATACAAGGACAGGGACTCCATGTCATTTGAGCTGGATACAGTGTGCCTGGGAGTCACAATGTCCTCAAAGGTCCCATGACATAATATCCATCAGATTTATTCATTTGACTCCCTCTGGAACAAGAAGTAGGGCCAGTGCTAAGAAAGGAACATTCCCTCCACAATGTGCCTTTGTTAATCAGGAAACTAGATGTTACTTATGCTTATGAATGCTTGAAGAATAATTTTCATTTTACATTTCAGTAGATTTAATGCTTATATGTTTGATCTCATTGTAAATTAATGGGCATATATGAAATTACCATTTATACTAAAATACTATTTTGGCTGTGTTCATTTAAACATTTTTTACTTTTTATTTTGCTCTAGATCTTATATTTGTCTTTATTTTATACAATTTCAATCATTCAGTGTGGTTTTATGCTTGAAAATAAACATGAATCTGTTGAGCATAAAAATAAGATATCACAGATATCTCATCTGTCAGTGAAAATCGATCTGTGGCTAATTTACCAGGGTTTCTCTTTCCCATCATTTGTATTTTGCGACTGACTGCAGCTTCTGCGCTGCTGCTCATACGCCATCCGTGGATAGGTGGTTGCCATGGTTTCCTGGGTCACATGCGTGGGTCTTGCAGCCAGAAGCAGCAGAAGTAGATGCTTGGACGAATTATTCAGAGCCATTTTCATTCAAGAAAAATTGAGCTTTCGCTGTGGATGCCGACTGGGTGGACTGACTACACCCGTCTGTGGATTTAGGGTGGGTTTTTTTTTACCCCCTCCAACCCCAAATTTCGCCCGTGTGCTTCTGATATTTTTCTTCTTCAAATTCGCAGGAAACCGGGTTTGGTCCACATTCATAGACTGATAATAGGAATGAGTATAGAAATCCCCGAAGGACTGACGGAGCTGTTGCAGAGCTTTACCGTGGAAGTGTTGAGGAATCAGCCCAGGGATTTGCTCGAGTTCGCGTTGCAGTATTTCACCCAGCTGAAGGAACGTGAGACCACGCAGGCCTCATTTGGCAATGACCAAAATTCGGCACCAAGACCCGTCAAAGCGGTCAATTTCATTGACGAAGCCATGCAGATGGATTCTGAAAACGGAGAGGAGAACGACGACGACGACGACGACGACGAGGAATTCATAGGTAGGCGAATAGAAGGGGGGGGGGGTGGACGTCCTTCATTTGTGTATAGGACAATGAGCGCGTGTCCCTCCGTCGGGAGAGGAGCAGCACGGATGCTCCAGAGCTCGCCACCTTGCATCCACCAGGGCTCTAGTCATTTACCATATATGGACCTACACATGATGATATTACTATGCACGTGAGAAGGCTTCACCTCCGCTATGATGCAAGCAATGCAAAATGTGTCTTTTACCACCCTAGTTTGTGCTCCATAAGCTGTGGTCCTACTGATCAGAATGCAGTGGCATATACGGTGCATCAAATAGCAAGAACCCGCTGCTCTGACATAGCATCACAATCTGCAACGACTGCAGGAGGACGAGTGCACTTCATGCAGTCGTTAAATGAACTGTTGCAGTATTTTTGATATTGTGCCCCATCACACCTCAATGGCCTTAATGGTATTCCAATGAGCCTCGCTGGACGCCTGCAAATGGACGAGACCTCCTATCTAATTGATATTTCATAGCCAGGCTATTATGTTGGAGCTCAGCTGCCTTAGACATTTGCATTTTTTTGTCAATCAAATTTGATTCAAGCGTGCTTCAAAGCAGCTGTCCCTATTCAGGTTTTACCCACATTAACATGGCTCCTTAATTAGCAGTAGTACTCCACTACACACGCAGTTTGTAGAGCGCAGGACTTTAAAATAACCCTTTTCAGAAATGCGTCGGTCACTGTGACATAGATTTATTTCATCATTCATTCTAACTTGTTGATATATATACCTATGCTTCTGCAGCCCCGGTAATAAACAGATTCATCAGAAGAGCCTCAGGTGAGTTCTGTCATTCTGGCTGTTTTAAGAGATGTTTTTCGTCTTGTCATTTAGCTAAAATACTGTTGATTTATTAGAGTTTGTTAAACCACTTCTGGACAAGTGCTTCTTCTATCCTGGTAGTGCTGGTAGTGCCATACAAATGAATGGTAAACAAGTATGTCTTTATTTGGAGAAGTTGTCCTGTAAGCTTGTTTATTCAAATAAAAGTGTGCCCCATATGTAACAACTGCCCCCCAAAGCATTTAAGACCAGAAAAACATATTGCATGAAACTGAAATTCTGTCTGGTGGTCCGTGTCGAGCTCATTTGTTGATCTCTGTCATGCAGTTTGTGCTGAAGCGTTCAATCCTGATGACGACGATGAGGATAAAGAGCCATGGGTAAACTGAAGATTCTGTCTTAGTGCTGAGGTGGAATTTGACTAAACACAGTGAATTGAAGCTCCAAATACAAACTGAAAGCATTACACAATCTTCTGTATGCGCTGCAATGTGGAGTTCATGCCAAAAGAACTGCGCTTCAATTTGCAGGTCATCCACCCCAAAACCGATGACCAGAGACAGAGACTACAGGAAGCATGTTGGGACATTCTTCTCTTCAAGAATTTGGATCCGGTGAGCGGATGGTTCCATGAGCACTGTGTTCTCCTCTGGTTGTTGTCTCGCCATCTCTGAAATGACACAAAGGGGAAGATGGCCTGAGGCCAGCAGCTCTTTGCCACAGCTCAGTACACTGTGCATAATTTGGAAAGATGATTATTTTCAAGTAGCTGAAACGGCCCACTAGCTGGCTTCTGCACGATTGTTTTCAACAATGGAAATTCACGTATTTTAAATGACATTTTACGCCACCGCAGGAAGAGATGTCTCAGGTGCTGGATGCTATGTTTGAGAAGTTCTGCACTGAAGGGGAGCACATCATCGACCAAGACGATGATGGAGACAACTTTTACGTTATTGAAAGGTGATTTTTCCACACCATTCCCAAAAATTATTGACTTTTATTTGTGACTTTAAAACATTTTAATCTGTGACATAATTGTTCCCTGCTGAGATTTCAGGAGAAACCCTTATTGCTGACATGTGATTATATTTTCATTTTTCCCTCTGTGTTTTTATTTCAGCGGGACATTTAAGATCTTCGTGAAGGTCGATGGCACGGATAAGCTGGTAGGCTGCTATGACAACCGAGGCAGCTTTGGAGAACTGGCGCTGATGTACAACACCCCCAGGGCGGCCACAATAATTGCCACCTCTCCTGGAGCCCTTTGGTGCCTCGTGAGTAAACCCTTAAATCCTCGTGTGAGAGCACAGTCTGCTCCACGCTTAAGTTTTCCAACTGCGTCGTCAGTTGTCAGGATGACAAAATCCAATGTAGGCCTAAAAGAACAACATGTCCCTTTAGAGCTCAGCTATCAGATCGGCTCAGACAAAAATGAGTGGGTGAGCAGGTACACGCCTCTGATGAACTTGGGTAGAGTTCAGTACCTGAGGTAGATTATTCAAACGGGAAAACTGGGGCTGTCAACACCATCACAGAGAAGACAAAAGGTCAGGGTGAAGGCAATTCTATTCCCTGCACTGCAATCAAAAAAAATATGTTTTTTATCTAACTAACTAAGTTGTGTCCAGCACAGATATTGTCAATATTCAGTTGCTACTTGATCTGTCCTTAAGCCCTGGGTAACGGCTTTGTTACGTCCTGTGTGTGTGTGAGCAAACCGGGCAGGTTGCTGCCGTATCCACTTGGGTGCTCGTACTGTGTGTTTGAATCAGTGAACCAGCAGCCCGTCAACAATCCCCCAGGGTCGAGGAGGGACAGAGATCCTGACAAGCCACCGAGCCACAGACAAAGCTTTAATTAAACTCTGATGTCCAGAATGTAAGTTGTATGTAGGTTACTTTTTGGATTTTTAATATCCAGTACACCAAGTCCTAGGACCTAGAGATGAGTCTGCTGACCACTGTAGCAGTTGTTTACTCATTTGGTATGTACTTTTCCTCCTCCTCCAGGGGGCGCAGTGGTTAACTACCTTTGTTTTCCTAACCAGTGATCCACAGCGCCACCTAGATGGCCTCAGAGCGTGTGTATAAGACACCCCTTTTCTCCTATAATCATCAAAGTGTGATCTACAATTGCCATGAATATAAAAATGACCAGCTATATTTGAATACCACCATGTCAACACTGTCAGAACGCTTTAGTTCATCACGAAATGTTGACGACCCCTGTACTGTGGAACAGTATTTAATCCTCTAGAGCTGCATGTTGTCGTCCATCATAATACTGTTGGATGAAAACATGCCGCATTAGAGGATTATTATTATATTATATTATATGTTAGTATTGCTGGCCACGATTTGAGTCTAATCCATATAATCCTTCTGAAAATAACCTTCAAATGTGATTATTATTAAGGTTGTTACTATTAAGGTCTACTACTGAGAGTAGCACGTTGCCCTGAGTACACGCTTGAAGAAAAACATTTAACCCGAATCGAAAAGCGAGGGACAGCTGATGTTAAAAAGAAAAAATGAACACAGTGAGGCCTTGAAACATGTGTTCATTTTCTTTAAACTCTGTTTCAGGATCGTCTGACATTCCGGAGGATTATAGTGAAGAACAATGCCAAGAAAAGGAGGGTGTATGAGGCGTTCATTGAAACGCTACCACTGCTTACATCTTTAGAGGTAAGACGGGCTTTGTTCTCCAGTGTGAGGAAAGTGCAGCGTGCATGTGCAGTAAAACCATTGTTTACCGAACACCCCTCCATCCACAGCTCTCAGAGAGAATGAAAGTAGTGGACGTCATTTCCACCAAGACTTACAGCGATTCGCAGCAGATCATCGCTCAGGTGATCAACCTCTTTATCATCTGATCATTTTTCTTTTCTGCTGCAATGGAGCATTTGCGCTGAGATGCTCATTTCTGTGCTTCGATCGACAGGGTGATTTAGCAGATTGCTTCTACATTGTTGAGTCTGGCCAAGTTAGAATCACCATGAAAAGAAGCAGGGTACGTTTGCCCAGTCTACTATTTACGGTTATATGAGGGGGGGAAATGTGCTTGTGTGTACGTTTTAATGTGCATTTCTTTCCAGACGAAAAAAGACCAGGAGGATGAGGAGATGGATATTGCCACGTGCATGAGGGGCCAGTATTTCGGGGAGCTAGCGCTCGTCACAAACAAGCCCAGAGCTGCATCAGCATATGCAGTGGGAAGCGTCAAATGCTTAGGTATGATTTGTGGATTTTTAATGATCATTCATGTATTACGTCTTGAGTATAAACTCGTCAGTGTACCGTTTACTATTTCACATTATTCTCCATAACTCCTTGAATTATGTCTGACTCCTCTTATTGTATTTGTTTCATGGTCAGCCATGGACGTCCAAGCCTTTGAGAGATTGCTGGGTCCTTGCATGGACATCATGAAGAGAAACATAGCTAACTATGAGGAGCAGCTGGTGACCCTGTTTGGAAGTAGCACTGGGATGGAGCAACAAAGTGCGTGAGACAGCTGGGCCCGAGAAACGAGTCTTGTACGGATGTTTGTCCCCATATCCACTTAAATGGCTTTTTCTTACAAATGTGAATATCCACTATAACATTTGTGTGTCTGATGAATAAAATAGACTACGCCGGAATCACGTTTGAGACTATAGGTTCATTTTAGCAGACTTTCGCCAAATTGCGTTACAATGGAAGTAAAGAGTTCATAAAGCTCGTTTGAGTTTTCATCACTGTCACCCAAAAAATGTAAGCGGATATTTTACTCTTCGGTGTCAGACGCGTTCATTGTTTGTATATTAAACCCTTTTGTTATCGCTCACCTTTTTCTCCAGTGTTAATTACACCTACAGTATAATATTGTTTGTACATTTATAAACATTGTTTGTTGAAATCAGATGCCAAAGCTAATTTCTTACTGGATTAATTGTGAGCCAATATGTCCCAATCTCTTGTCATTTTGGGAAGGGCATTAACAAAAGTGCCCCAACATTAAAAGGATTAACAATTTGTATAAAAAGTTGATTTGATGACATAGTTCAGAATCTGATCACAACAGAATGTAGACTTGGCACTACTGTAACATTTTGTTTGTCATACATTTGAATCCTTGAACACATGTTCATTGACTGTGTATCATTGGTAAGTGTGTTTGTGGCTGTTAGCCTAATACTATGCTTTTGCAAAAAAACTAACTTCCGAGAGATAGCTGATAGTTTTGTATGAATATACCACACATTGCTGTACAATTTCAAACATATATTTACGGTTGTTGTATAGGCCCAGCTTAGATTTGATAAGTTGGCCCATTAAACTGTGGTCATTATAGGCAGTGTCTATTGATTTTTCTGTGTTTTAATGTGAAATTTGAGTCTAATTGTTTTTGTGTCGGTGAAACATACATTAGGATTATACACCCATTATTGCTGTCTACCTCTGCCAACAACATATACTGTTTGGAGACACATATTCTGATGTTTCCTCTAAACAGGAATCTAAAGTGGGTCTTCTCTGTATCTCTTCTCTATCTTTTTAAGATTAATAATTGAAGTGTTCTGTATTTTGTCTGTGGTTTCCTGCAGCTTACACTGGTAGAGCTGGTTTAACATTTAAACATGTCATTTAGCCCACCCATTGTGCAGGTAGAGGTGGTGATTTTTGAAGGCAAACTCTTCAAACTGGATGAAAGTACTTTATGTTTCATTTTTCATGTCAATAAAGAACATTTGTATATTTGTGTGTCACATTGTTATTTGTTCATAGAAGAGAATAGAATAGCAAACTGAGGCTTTTCATTCATTCCGTATTCCTAAGAATTTGTTCATTCACAAGATGATTTAGTGAAAGTGAAACTGATGGTTTAACTACAAAGGAGAAGACAAATAATGCATATGGAATATGTAAGTCAATGTGACTGTAAGTACTTGCTGTAGTCGCAACATTGCTGATCAAAACTAACCATGTATTGTTCCTGTTATTGCCAATCAGCTGTTACTGGGTAGTAACAGGCATGCACGTTCATCCAATCACACGATGATCAACAAACTAGGCCCCGCCTTTAATATTTTCCTCAACACCACTGACCAATCGAGCACTCGGATTCTTGTTATTGACGTTCTTGTACACCAATAGGGAGCTTTCTCTGGAAACATTCAGTCCCGCCCCTCGAGTGAATGCCAGATACTTTCTTGATGGCGACAGGTTTGGTAAGTGGGTAGTTGAGTTCTTCTTTTCCGGATAAACAAAAGGTTCACACAAAAATTCAACTTGAGCTTCGCGTGATCCGCGTCTTCGCCGTACTAACGTGGTGTTTTGGGGGCGTTGTCACGCGCTTATTCCAACTGGAATTCCAGTGAGCTCGACAATGTTTTTTTCACTGTGACGCTTGTTGTTTTAGTGACAACGAGCCCGTCCGACCGCAGCGTCCTAAAACGAGACAACTCTTTCATTCGTTGGTATCTGCTTCAAAATACCCCCGATAATCCTGTCTGGGGTTCGTGTCATTCATTTGGAACGGGGCACCGAGGTTGCGTCATGCCTCAACTTGTTGACATTCTTTTGTTTACAGCGTTGAACCCGACTAGCTGCCTGTGGTTTTGAGGACTTTGGGGGGGGCGCAGAGACTGTGTTAGGCCCGATATGCAAAACGGTCTACTCGGCATCGTGATACTTTGGAGACGTTTATTAACGGAATGTCATTGGTGCATATCCGCGTTGAAGAAGTAAAATCATCGGTTCACGGAGCATCCAGCCACCGTCGGTTGTCAAAACGCTAAAACCCGTTAAGGTGTCTTAGTTCTTCCTAGACTTGATGTTCTCCGCTTTTTTTCTACTTATTTTTATTTTTTATTTTACGTTGCGTGGCTTTAACAGATCCTGGATACAATATTTGCCTTTGTCATTTAAAACTTCTTGTCTTTGAGGCTCCATATGAGACTTTTCAAAACGAATTTCCGCTGTTTTTCCACTTTCTCTGCGCAGTCGAATGAATGGGCCGTGATGCGCATGCGCAGAATCTGTTTTAAGTTTACAAACAAGGCCTCTACGCAGTCGGTCACGTGACTGCTCGCAGCGGAATACCGTCGATGCGGAGACAAAGGATTCCCTTGAGGCTGCCCACCTATTCCGTTTTAGTGTTGTAAAGTGTGACATTTTTTAACAATGTGTGTTACCCACATTCTGTCTGGGTTTTCTTCATTTCATTTAATATTTTATTAGACATATTTTTACCAGTTATGAGTATGATGTTTTGCGCTACGCATTCGCTCATGTCTGCATGAACCCACATAGAAAAGAATCGGCATAGTAGCATTCGTATACAATTATAAATAATATGTTTTTCTCTTGACTGAGTTTCACTTTTCTGAAAGCTTTGTCTGTGACCCTTTTTGTATTTTTCATAAAACCAGCTGTTGTGGCAGCAGGACCTGATTAAACTAATATAAATCCTGTTTTTGAAAAAAAAAAGAAAAGGAAATAGCAGAACCATTGTGAAAATGGACGAGTCCTTTGATCTACTCAAGTGCAACGAGGACCTACCTTCCTCACCCGGGTGCCACATGGATTATGGTAAAACCCCTCACGTTTGATATATAAGTAAATGAGCTATTCCCCGCACTAATGATCAAATTACTTTTGACTTCTCTCCAGATGACTTGCCAGAGCTGCAGGAGGTGGAGGAGGACCAGAGGTCTCCAGGGTTTTTCCAGGTCCGAGCAGGGGTGTCCCACCAGGAGCTGAGCTGCTCCCCAAGCACCAACTGGCTCACCGAGCTGGCCAACATTGCCACCAGCCCTCAGAGCTCCCTGCTGAAGAGCGCCCCGCATAGGAGGTTTGCACCAAGACCAACTAACGTGAAAAGAAACAAAGACGAGATGAGTTCATATAAGGAAATAGACTCAAAGAGGAGTTGATAGCCCCGATGGCACTCTAGCATGTATTCCAGGTTGCAGGCTGGGCAAGTTTGCTGTGATGAAATATCTTCTGAAATCATCCTTATTTTTGCAGTTATTAAAAAGAATGGCTAATTGTATGTACCTCATAAATATCACTCATACGTTGCTTAATTAACATTATTATGAACCATGATATACATTCGTGACATTTCTTTTTTTCAGATCCTCTCCGGTCCACATCTTTGGCAACAGTAATAGTTTACATTCTTACGCCCGTCCCCCGTTAGCCAGCAGTGCTCCCAACCCGTCCAGAGGCCATTTCAGGGAGCGCAGGCGTGTCCGGGTAACTTTTTCATCTACACCCCAAACCTTTTAAAACCAAATAACTATGCATTCCTTTAGACTCAATGACTATTTCCTGGTATTGGAAGTACTGGAGTTATTTGTTTTAGGGATTTCATTGTAAAGTGTTTGTTTATTGCTTGCAACAGGCCAGCAGCGAATCCGAGTCTGGAGTTTTCTCAATGTCCTCATCTTTTTCTGACGATGAAGACATGGCCTGGTCTCACTCTTGGCCCTCCACAGCGTGGCATTGCTTCCTTAAAGGCATGTAAATACACACTCATGTACATATAGTATGTGTGCACCAGGCATTTTCACCTACTCACACACACATAGAGCTGAAAATTCAGCTTTTTGAAGAATATCCTGAAGGAAACATGGTCTTTAAAATGAGGTCTCATAGCTTAGAGGCAGAATGTAAAGGCACTAAACAACTTTTGGGAAATGTTTGGAAATAGAGCGGTTTTAAATTGGTCCACTTCTGATAATTTCACTTGACCGATGGGTGCTGATGCTACTCTTTGTTCCCTTTCTTTCATAACCAGGTTGAGTTACACACATTTGTAAATCATTTCTGACCTCTGGAGTCCAAATGGCAGTATTGCATCCAAGTGTATTCCTCTTAAGTATCAACACCCATCTGCTTATTCATCATGTCACACTGTGGTGTTGATATTCAGGAACCCGCCTGCGCTTCCATCGTGGTCCTAATGTGGAGTGGCAGGACGCTGATGAACTTGGCGATTCTGATGAGGACTCTGATGATGAAACCGTGATGCCAGCCTCCTCCTCTCTTAAGGTAGACCACAAACCGACTATTTAGTATGTCTTACAGCATTGAATAAGCTGTCCTTTGGACATACCTACCTGCTTCATTGCTGAGGAGATAAGTGCTTGATTCAGTGTAATCACTGTCAGTAGCCATGACAGTTGCTTGCAATGGCCACCAGGTGGCCGCCAGGCTGACAGAAGAGGTACAGAAAGTGAGTAACTGAGTGCATAAAACATACAACATGTAACTGAGTAACATCCATGGTCACTCACAGTGGTGGTCTCACTAAGTATCTCACAAAATACGTTGTCAGGCCATCCGGCTCCAAGTTGATTGTTTGTATTCAACCCATCTGGTCTTTTGTTTCTCTTACAGAGGTACGGTTCAGAGGGTCTGAAGTTGGTCAGCCACGAAGAGACTGTATCTTTTGGCCAGGCAGTTCTTAAACTGACCTTTGACCCCGGCTCACCCGATGACAGCCCTTTAACAGCCGAGTGCCGATTGGATCACCCATTTTTTGTGAAAAATAAAGGTAAAATAATTTTTGTTTAGTCTTTTTTCTGTATAAAATAAGCACAAAATATCAGCTGCGGGACATGTTCTCTCTTTGTCAGAAAACAGATATTATTGCAATATATTAAAGTGGTCTCTGCCATGAGAAGCTTCCACTTGACCAGTTGTTGTTTGCCTGATGCAAAATACAAAATAATATTATGTTTTTATGAACAGCTGCATTATCAAATTGATCGTTACGTTACCACCCGTTTTTCCCCAGGTTGGTGTTCCTTTTATCCGAGCCTTACCGTGGTGCACCATGGGATCCCTTGCTATGAGATGCAGTTGGGAAACCTGTGCCTGCCACCAAGTCACCCAGAAGCCATGAACTGCGATGACTCGGTCGTCTTTGATACTTTCAGAAGGTACACTGCTGTAATATTAAGTACATATTCTTGATTCTTGAAAGTGACAAGACGACTATTTGTAACAAACAGCACATGTGCTGGAAGAAATGCTGCAAATGAAATGCAACAGATAAAAAAACAAAACAACAAAAAACACAAATGCCTCATCTTCTTCTTTGTTTTTGCAGTTATGACTTCACCCCACTCGACTCCTCAGCCGTGTATGTTCTCAGCAGCATGGCCCGTCAGCGCAAGACCTCCCTGTCCAGCGGGGGGCTGGACTGCGAGCGCTCCGGCTCCCCACAATCCTCTACTGGCAGATCAAACAGGAGCCAGACCTCAGGAACAGCCGCCTGTGCCACGCCTACTAAATGCAAGCGTCCGATGAACGCCTTCATGCTCTTTGCCAAGAAGTACAGAGTAGAGTACACACAGATGTACCCCGGGAAGGACAACAGGTACGTAACACTCCATGAGATCCAGTGCACGCAATCACATCGCCGCACTCCAGTGTTTGTGTCAACCGCAGGCTCACATTTATGACAAACATTCTTCTTCTATATCTATATCTTCCTCTATATTTTAATTGATTTAATTTTTATGAAAAAGCAATAAGGTACGAGAGGCTGTACTTTACTGTCCAATAATGTAGCAGTTCGCCGTTGTTGTTAGGCCCGAAACGCGGAGCGGCAACCCTCGAACTGTTACATTGTTGAAGATAAAGTACTGCCTCAAGTACCTTATTGCTTTTATAATACGGTTACCAGCGAAATTATAAATTGTAAGTAAATAGCTGCCTTTCAGCACAGAATAGTATTATCCCTCAAACGTTGTGTATCTCATTTCAGTAGTCTAGAGAAAAAATAGTCCCCGTACGTGCACGTAAACAGCATTGAGTCTCGCACCATCCCATTCATTCACATCGCTCATGACGTCCACCTTAATTGTCCGGTTGCAAAAGCTCACGTTGCCCGAAACAGACCATTTGTGGGATTTACGTTTTTTTTTCCGGCGAACGCCACCGAGCTTAAAGCTAAAACGGTCCCGCAAAATCTAACCCCGTGACCCACTCTCAACCAATCAGAACACTGGATCTACCCGTAATACCCGTATTACAATATGACATTTTTAATGACTTTTTATGGCATAGCATATATTTATACATTTATTTGTAATTTTCACGCCAACTTTTATGCCATATGATATAGGCTATATTCTAACATTTTTTCAGGGACTTTAAATGTACACTATTACATTTGTATGACCTTCTTGTGTAACATTTTTATTGAATACCACTTTATGACGCACTATGACGAAGAGGGCATGTCCTTCATCTTTTGCCTCTTACCTTGCACTCAAGAGCCATAAGTGTCATCCTGGGTGACAAGTGGAAGAAGATGAAGAATGAGGAGAGGAGGCTGTACACCATGGAGGCCAAGGCTCTGGCTGAGGAGCAGAAACGACTCAATCCAGACTGCTGGAAACGCAAAAGAACCAACTCGGTAAGTAACTGAATCGCTGTACTGTGACATTCAGTAGCTTTTCTTACATAACACCCTTACTGTATGCTGACATTGCATGCTAGATTCAATTTACCCAGTCTTTGGTTTCGATGGTGTGTCCACCCTACTGTAGACAGACAGCTAATGTCGTCCTTCAACAGGGCTCCCAGCAGACCTAGATGATCTCGCAGAAACCCCGGCTGTTGGTTGTTTTGACACAGAGAAGTGCTGGACAGAGTCTGATGGACCGCTTGATGCCTCTTTGCTCTCCCGTATTCTTGAGACTCAACTTCCATGCAGAATTCATTGCTTTTGTAACCTTAAAACATTATTAGAGACAACCCAGAATTATGATACTATAAACAAAACATGTAATCTAGTCACTAACAGTGCATATATTTTCCTATATCTTTGATGTCAAAGTCTTATTCCCCTGAAATGAGAATTAACTTTCTCATTTTTTACAGGTGATTTCATATTCAAGGTTGAAAAAGGAGCACATGTGGTGCTCTGCCCGAGTGTAGGAGGAGCATGACACAACATGTGTTTATAATTGTAAAAAGGGGATTTTTAGATGACTTTTTCCACACTGTTCAAATGATTGGGAAAAGTAGTAACCCTTTTCATACACTTTGTAATACAATATATTTTGCAGCTCAACTATTGCCAACAGTAATGCTGCCCTGCCAGTTTTTTTTTTTTACATTTTAGCCCAACCAGCTGGTTATACGTTGAGGGCTTTCAGCATGTGGTGGTGGGTTCATCATACTCAGTCACAGAGCACTTCAGGCCTTTGCTTTAAGTGTTTATTTCTTCCGCACTTTATATAAATATATAATCTCCTATACAGTGATTGTATACTTGTGGAAACCATTTGTATAATACAGCTGGCATCTTGACAGTAAGCCATTTGACACAATCAGCGCTCAGAAGCCATGTTCTGCTTTCAGGTTGCTCTTGAATTTTAAGTGCTTTGTTCATAATGTACAGGTTTCACAGCCTCAACAACCTCTTGCACAAAATATCCTTGTATCATATTATAAATATTTTTTTTCTTCTTATCCAAGTATTTTGTTCTTTTCATAAACTGTAATCACAACATGTGGTTGTTTGGCTTTCTGTTTTAATACCTGTTGAAATGAGTTTTGCCTGTTTTTTTGCTTCAAATTATTATCTTCCTCCTATGAACACATGCGTTCACAGACACACTGAACCAGGCAGGTTTTATCTCAAGCTTTAACAGCTTTTGAATATCCACCGATATAAATAATGTAGTAAACCCATAAAGCCTGATGTTTCCAGGTAAAGGGACAGTTTGAGTGTTTTATTCTTGTGTTTCTCTCTCACATTAAAAATGCAGGGCACATAAGCTCAATAAGACTTCCAAAGCACAACTGTTCTACAGCAAGACGATTCACTCTTGGGCTGGATTAGGAGAAGTTTACCGGTTGTAATTTCATTTTATACTCCCTGGAACACTTGAAAATGAAAGAGCACATTATTACATAAAAATCATCTAGTGGTGTAGTTACATGTACACGATTTACTTCATTTACATTGCGGCATGATGGTTGCACAGACGTGACTATTAAAAACAAAAATATGCAAAATTATTGTGCATTTTTTGGGGGGCAATTTACACAGTAAGAAAGCCAGAGGGCGCCAGCACTCCATTTGTGTCTATCATTGATGTGCTTTCCGCTATGACATAAAACACCTCTCTTTGTAAAGTATCACAAGATTATAAGGTCAACAAAGACCTCGGAGACACCATTGATAAGAAAGGAAAAGGTAAAGGAAACTAACGCGATGCATACAAGAATCAGTAACTGACCAGTAGCTAAGCTTACTTTACGTTACCTTCATGAATGTCTTGAGGGCCCTGCGTGTGTGAAAGAATAGGATTCATATCACTGTGTTTGCCTCATGAAAAAACAATGATCAACACCCTGCAAGCCTCTCACGCATAGGAATCTAATTATAGCATTTCCATAACAGGCCACTCCACAATGATCCCAGTTAAATACTTTATAGGGTATTTGAGGAAACGGAAAGTGGTTTGGGATATACGAGTCATTGTTTTGCTTTCCTAAGGGAAATTACACATTGGAAACAGACGTGTCCATTTCATCATCAGGTGAGTCTTCACACATTAGATTTATAATGGCGGAGATGAAAAAAAAAAAACTTGAATTGCATCTGAATCGGTTGGTCATTGCGTGGCAATTTTTCAGAAATGTTATTTATGCATGAGGTCCTTTGACTGGAACAATTGAGGAGGGAATGAATAATAAAATGGAAAATTAGAGTGGAAATAAATTGACATAGGGATCATCACCGATAGCTTCCTCTTAAATCAGAGGCTGCACCTTAATCAAGGCTTCCTAATTAGGGACAACGAGTTTTTAAAATTCACCCAGAGAGAGCAGACTCATGGCGTTTATGTCAACACGAACACACAACGCTATTTTACTTGATTTAAAAACCATTGCATGAGAACACGGTGCGGTGGTTCTGGCCCGTACAGCTGTAAGGGGACGACGCAGAGCAATAATCGGACATTTGTGCTCCCTGAATTTAGCCTTCATTGGATGAGACGGCTGTTGATACAGATTGCTTTGGATGTTTGGTGGAAATATGTGCAGATTTCTTCATGGGATGGAATCATGCCGAACCCTATATAAATCACCCTTTACATTAATGCTTTCCTCAACACATATGACACTATTTTGACGCACAGGTATGTAATGGAAACACTATTTTTGAATGACCTAAAAAAATACCTTTGGTGTTTTGAGTTGAATTTCTTATTGTTGGCCAAAATACACCAATAAAATACATCTGCAACAAACTATTAATTGGTGTATCTGTACATACATATATACAATCATTTCTGAATAGCAAAGAAAACACACATTATATGCAAACAAGTATGATGGTATCCAAGTGCACCGTATTAGCCCAAACTTTTGTCTCTTTTCCCTCGCTAACTTTATTCTGTAATCGCCAAACCACTAATTGTCTTTCACGCTATCGCCATCGCTGCTTGCCTGTTGCTCTCTCCCTTGTGCTCAGGAACTCTAATTGGATGGGGAGTGAACACTGTCCAATCATTTCATTTTCTTGGTCCACAGGTTTCAGGCAGCGAAGAGCTGAATTGAATAAGACCCTGCTGATTCAATTTGCACTTTGGTCTGACAGCCGAACAACAGAACGGCCAAGAAGAAAGAAATTACAGCACCGTAAAACAGCAGAAGCCTTCGTGTGGCCCACTGATCCACACGAAGGCTCACTCTGTAGCAGCTGCCCTGGTTTACTGAGTTACTTTTAATGTTGGCTCAGTCGGGGCACTTTCCAGGTGACTGCTTCTGTGGCTCAGAGTCGGTTGTTTTCCGGCCGTGTGATGTAACCTTTTAATACCATAAAGTAGTGCTGAGTGGATTATTCAATTAATCAGTTGAGCCAAAATTTAAAAGCACCAATTTTTATCATTAATATGTTATTTCAGATATATTTATCAAGCGAAATATGATAACATAATTTTGATGTTTTACAGTATATTTATTGTGTTATTATGTATAACACATTTCTTAAAGATGCCTTAAGAAGTAAAAAAAAAAAAATCACAAAAAATCATGGTATAATATACCAGGATAAAAAGTCAGAAAAATTGTATATTATAAACATGACAAAAAAGTCATAATACAGTCTGCCATTAAACATCCATGTATAATACAGAATGGAAAAATAGTAAAAAGACAAAAAAAAAAAACTAGAAACGTCATAAAAAAGGCCCAAAAAATCCACAGTAAATGTCATAGCAGAGTATGCCCTGAACAATCATAAAACGTCCCTGTATAAAAATCCCTCAATGTTTGCAATTTGGACATACAACACCAAATACACCATAGAGCTCCAAACCGCCACACTCCAACGGCCAAGCCCGGAAAGGATACAGGTTCTCTTGTTAAAAAGCCTAATAGCCTTAAGGTGGTGGCACCATTATAATTGGGAAGTGGTGTGATACCACATTGAAATTACAAATGCAGTTTGATTGCTGCACATCCTTCGGGAAAAGAAAGAGCACATTTGGCGCACCCTCAGACATAGTGACAGACGTAGCCCATCGGAAAGATTGTTATGCATTTTATTGATAAAGATGATGATGTTCTTTTGCAGCCTCGATACAACGGTAAAAATAGAAGTCAGAAGGGAAAAACTATTCTTCTGGGAAAATGTTCAGAACATGAGCCGCAGTGAGCTACTATGACTGCGCTCATCGATTAATCCTCTCAGAGAAAAGCCTCGTCAGGGTTCAGACAGAGGCTCGAGCTCGCACATGACTGAAAACAGTCAACATAATAAGCTCAGATCCTCATTTCCTGTGTTTACTATATTGAAAGATACAACTCAATCTTTGATAACATAATTAACCTCTCCCAGGATCAATAACCCGAGAGCACAACGCTAATGAGACATTGAGACATGACAGAGAGAGAGAGAGACAGACGGACGGAGAGTGAGAGAGATAACGAGAAAGAGAGAGACAGAAACAAAGACAGAGACACAAAGAGAGACAGAAAGAGACAGACACAACAGACACCAGGCTCCATCAACATTATGCTCCAATGATGTATTGAGAACATATGGATGCTTAATAAATATATCTTCTCTCTATAGGGCGCCATAAAAGTCTAGTGACTGAAATCGCGACAGGAAATAATTAATCTACTGTTGACACATTGCACGGTAAATTAAAATCTAATCAGCAATCATCCAATGTTACTGCCTTCTAATTTGCTCAGGAGCCTTTGTGAGTAGTAGACCAATAAATATATTTGAAATCATGCGGCCGAGCAATTCATCAACAGGTAGTCTGACTATAGTTACACAAGCTACTGACTCAATGTCCTGAAGACAAGCATCACAGTTTGCAATTACGTTGTGACTGCATAATCATGTTAAAAAACGAAATCAGCCATCAGAACGAGCCGGGAAAAGAAGCATGAGTGTCGCACAGTAGCGTGTTAATGTTGGCATGTCTGGTCTACTTCTGTTCTCTATCTCACGTGCAATAACAGACACGGGGAAGAGCTTTCACAGACCTCAGAGATCATCAATCAAACGTCACCTCCCTCTTAAACTGTCTCACCTCTTAATGATGTCTAACTTCTGCCTTCAAACATGAATAATTCCTCTGCGGGTTTTTCAATATTTCACCATGTGCAGCCATTTCATTTTATTAGTTGATCTGTAAGGGAATGGTGTTAGTGAACTAGAGAGGGGACTCGTTGTAATGTGACAAACATTAAGGCAACACGCTCTGAAAGAAACTACATATGTAAAGAGGATTATGATTTTGCCGACTATGTCACACGAGTATTGGCTGATTGCATTGCATAATAAGGTCAACCAACAGGAGGCTAAAATAATAGTTACACATGCAATGTAGTACAAAAAAAGGACAAACCATGGTCTGAAATAAGAGCTGAATGACCTTATTTCATACAGTCTTAATAGTTGTTTCAAGCTGTTCAAGTATATACTTATATTTTTGAAAGGGTTTACAACCTTCACAGAGTGAAGTGCCACCTCCTGGAGATTCTGCCTTCTTTAAGAAAAGCAGCAAAGAGCTTAACACGCCGCACAGCTTCAAAAGTCAAAAGGTTAAACCTAAACACCAGATCTCAACTGAGCACATCGAGACCCTCTGCTTTTTCCAAAAATGTTATCCAACCCAATCCCCGTCCACTCCCACTACAGCCAATTTCGGTGCATATCGATACTACATTTTAAAGAAACACACCCCTCTAAAGCCGGTTTTAAAAAGTAAATAGAATGAGAATAAACACGTCATGAACACACAGGGAACGGGGAACAGAAAGAGACACTGGAAGTAAGTGACACTTATTGAGAAGCAAAGTGACAAGAAAGAGGGAGCGCAGAGAGAGCTGTCATGGTAACGTTCTAGAAATGACAAAGCCACAGTTAATTACCACCTCCACCCACAGGTATGATGCATACATAATGGAGAAGGTGACAGGACACCTGCTACGAAACCTCGACTAGTTATCACTTGTATGTATTTCTGGAGCGTCGTTCCCCGGGAGACCGGCCTTCTTCCTCTTCTTAACTTCTTTTTCACAGAGTACATAAGGAAAATGTGTGGAGGGGAATACCAAGCGAGCTGCTGCCGCCAGAGATGCAGTTTTAAGGGGAGGAAAAAAGAGAAGGAGATCGGTCTCACACACTAGTCGCATTTGGAAGCGGTCCACTCACTTTAATTGTGGAGATTGGGTGTGATGTGAACTGTGTGACGCAAACCTTTGAAAATGAAGTCACTTAAAGCCCCCCAACCCCATCAGTACCAGGTCTGGGGAAAGACAATTGTACGGTGCATTATTTTTTATAATATGAGGTTACTCATGAAGTAATGTCACGGTGTTAAGCATGGGAGAAGGTTTCCATCAGTGCTGCTGACTGAGAACACCCATCTTCATCTTTGCTGCTTGATCAGTGGCTGCAAGCTGTATTTTACATTAAGAGGGTTTTCCACACTTCTACAGTGCTTCTTTGATCAAACTCCAACACTTGTCTCGTATTTTCCCTT